GTAATAAAGCACGCAACACGGATCATCAGCTCCAGGAAAGAAAGGAAACTTTTTCAATGAGTAAGTGCTACTATGTAACCTTGCAATAGAAACAACCCCCTATTTAGTCATCTTGCGTTTGAAAACATATGCTTGAGGGCAGATGTATCATCAGCTTTCACTTTAGAGGCTTTTTGTTCAGAAACTGAAAAAGTTTGCACTTAACTCTTGCTGAGGAGAGCAAACTGCCTTTGCCACTTTCTCCCCAAAAGTCAAAAACATCTATTTTCCATCCTCGGAGTAGCAAAGGCAAAAAAGAAGTATCTACAGCAAATGAACACACTGGAGACTGCTTAATTCAGAATGAAAGTTACCTGTTCCCCTACCACACACGGCAGGGTCAGAGGAGATTAGTAAATGGAGATTTTTCACAGCTGATGGCCCAGCAAAGAAGCAGAATAATCGATGGAGATATCTACAAATGCTTCAAAACAAGGACATCACTACAATTATTATTTTTCCTTTTTCTTTTCTTTAAAGTCAAGCAAGTGCATTCCTTTGCACTGTATAAAAAAGGGAAGCCACAGGCAAAATTAGTTACATTAGGATGTGATTTGTTTTCTAGATATATTAGCCACCAGTTTGTGTGTTGTTTGGTAAACATAGTTTGCAGATTACAAGTGTAATCTTCCTGTCTCTAAAGAGAGAAATTTTGCAATTCCAAATTTTTCAAGCAAGTTTTAGCTAAGTGGCAAAACTTTGTTATTCTATTTTCAAATTCGGTGCCCAGATTTATTACTACTTATGCTTTATTGTACTTGCATGATAAAACTATGTATTATTATACTTTATCATTTATTTATGCAGGATGAGTTTGAATTATATGCCTACAAAGTTAATGTTAGAAGAGAGGATGAGTTTGTAGATTTTTTTTCTCCCACCATTCATCCCTAGTTCTGACTGTGTGGTCATTTGAGAGCAAGGAATGGCATTTTTAAAAGAGCATGTGTTATCTGAGATTCAAGTTAGGCATGACTTAATGTTTGGGAGTCAAAGGGGAGAAAAAAAACACTTGGTTCTTACTTTTGTTTTTAGAGGCAAGCAAATACTACTGATTCAATTTGCATTTGGAGAGGACGTGACCTTTAACATGCAGAACCCACAGTGTGTGCTTTCCTTCTTTGACAAACAGCCATGGAAGTTCATTAGCAGAAAGTTGTTGACACCTGAAAGGCATTTAGAAGCACAAAAATAAAAGGTCTCAAGGTAGAGGCATAAGGAAGGCAGTGGACAGCTACATACACAGGGAGCTGGAGGTGACTGAAGCGTAACATTTCTGGTAATGAGTATTTTGAAAGACTCTAGTTCTTACTGTGGGAGAACTTTGTATATGAAGACATGTATAATCAGGAGTAGTGAGATGATGTAAAGAAAAGGGAATTTTGGCTGAAGATCAGGCGGTCTTTCTGGCTGTTGTAGTAGACGGTGGAATATTTTGGTCTGTCAAGGAAGCAGTGGGAACTATTGTTTGAAACTTTTAAAGCAAAGCTAAACAAATTTCTAATGAATACGCCATAAAGAGTAATCAAATATTTGCAGTGCTGATGCACATTTAAGCTTATGGATTTTTTTCTGTCTGTGAACAAAAAGTCCTACAAGGAGTTTACCAAAAATACTTGACATTTGAAAGGTCTCTATAGCTTTATTGTAAGCATGTTTTTGTAAATGTTTGTAGGTTTTATTTTTTATTTGTATTTATTGTGAAATGTCAGGAGTAGCGCTTCCTAAACAATTACAGATACTTTTCTAAATGAAAGAAATGGTTGTGTTGGGGATAGCTTTTGGCCAAACATACAAATTCAGTTGGTGTTTTTTTCTCCTTATGCCCCTTTACTTTGTTTCCCAGTGTGTTTTGTAAATGAATGGATCATAAGGAACAAATTAAACCCATTTAAAAAAACATCCAAAATCATTCAATAATTGAAAAATGTCACTTCTAGGGGAAAAAAAATAAATCTGTTCTGAGACTTTCAGTTTGTGCTTTAGAGATTTCTTTTTTTTGGGGGGGGGGGGAGACCTGTGGAAACCTCAGCCCCAATTTTATGACATACTTTAATGACTACTTTCAAAGCAGTGTACTCAACTAATCTAAATTTGCTATTAAATTAGATTTAATACTTTAAAGTTGTTGACCTGCTTAGCTGATTTTCTAGCTTTCCTCTGCAGCTTTCTTAAAGCCAGCTTAACTGGCTTTAACATACCTTTAAACAGAAGATTATTGTAGCTTGTGATTTCATTCAACTTTTGGAGCCACTCCGTGACAAAATGAAACAGGAAAAGAGAAGGTCAAATATGTGTAAAAGGTGGCACCCTCTGTGTTACTCATGAGTCAAAATTCAGGTTGAAGTTACAAGTGTCTCAGACCTCTTAGAACAGATTTCAAATAATTTCTGTTCATGTCTTTATGGAGATACTATATAACCTGCTGCATTTGGGATACTTTCATCAATTTCAAATCAATTTGAAAACTTTAAGCAAGATTAGGGTGAAAAAACGGAGCCCAGGAAGGAACCAGCATCATTCTCTGAGAACTAAAATGCTGAACTTCAGATAGCACTAATGCAGAAGAGAAAAAGCATTGGCAGACTGGAAACTATGAATGTACCAGGGCAATATAAAAGCAAGCAGTCCTGGTGCCTGCAAGCTGTGCAATACTTTAGCTTTCACTGGATGACAGCCTATGTGTCCCTGCTCTGTTTTAAAGGGTAAATCACAAGTGCGCTGCCTGCATTTTGCTTCCTCAAGGGGAGTTTATGGTGTGTGCCCAGTGCAACTGGAGCACACTGCTTCTGCCAGACAGCGTGCAATTCTGCATTCCCATCCCAAGTCTTTGCCCCATGAAAGCTGGACTTTGTAGAAGAACAGGGTTTATTTCTGTTTTGGAAAATTCAGCCCTCAAAGTAGTACATGGAAATATTACTCAGGCTATTAACAGACACTGAAACCTGGATGCAGATATTCAGTACGTGAATTCAGAAAACAAAAGAAGAAGAAAGCAAAAGGCAGGACTTTCTTTAATTTTCTTGGATAAGGTTATTAATACTTGAGGGTACAGGCAGCAGAGAGCTTTTCCTTGAGCTGGGAGCAGAGGAGGAGAAACCAGCTAATTTGAGCTATTTGTTCATATCCACCCAAAGTCTGACAAAGGACCCTGTGATTCAAAGTCCCCTTTAATAGTACTTTGCGCTGTGAGAAATTAAGGGTTTCCTTGCCTTAAGGTTTCATCATTGATAGAAGATTTGAAAAAGCCCAGCTGTTTTCTCTAGCAAGCAAGGCCAGTAGGGTTGGGTTAGGGTTCACCTGTGTGTCTCTAAAAACCTGGAACTCAAGCCGTCTGCCTGGAAGAGATGATGCATAGCACTGTGTGTGTACTTTTTTAATATAGAATGTGAGGGTTCTTCATTAGTTTAGGAGTCACTTATGGAAAGCACTGCAGCTAGCACCTGAAACAGCATTGCCCTGGCCATGAGCCTGCCAAAAAAGGGGAGCTGGATGTCTCAGCTGCCTAGTGTCATAATCCTGACTTGAATTGCAACCAGACCAAAATGTGGACCTCGAGGGAGCTCCATTTTCTTTCTGTGTGCTAATACAACTTTGGGCTGCATTCGTGAACTTGGGGCCTGTGGTCGGCAACCAGGAGAATGTGCTGGACCTTGGATCTACCGGTGGAAATCCAGTGCTTGCTGTAGGGCCTTTTCTGATGAGAAAGGTGAAGAAGTCCCTCCAAGGACTAATGAGCGATGATCTGGTCAATAGATACCTCTGTGGATTTTATTACAAGATTCAGCTGTCATGCCAGTTTGGAGTGTTTGGGCTGCTGGAGCTGATGTTATACTATTGTTTTATAAAATCATGAAAATGGAATGTATAATAACAGATCATCTTCCACTCACATAAGCCTAAAGGTCTCTTACTGCCAAGAAGCATCCTGCTTTATGAAGTGTGAAACAGAGTTCATGCCCTCTCTAAGCAATAATCTAGCCAAAGCTGAAAAGCTTAGTGAACATTTCTTTTTGTTCTAAGTGCTGCTTTTAAAGCAGTTACTGTTTCTATACAAGGTGTTTCTGCAAATAGATGCATACCCAACAGCCTGAGTTGGGTATCCTGCTTGGGTGGAGAGGGAGCTGCAAGCTCAGGCAATTCATGTATTTACTCGTCTATTTCTGTGACAGGGCCTGGGAGTGTTACAGTCCATTAGGAAGCTCATTTTAGAAAGGGAAAGAAGAAAAGGTGGATGCTGTAGGGTTTGGTTTTTTTCTTTGTATATACAGACAAAAGAGTCTTTACACATTATGGGAGAGTTTTTCCTTAGGCTATTAGCTCAGGATTTTTGATTCTGATCCTTAGGGATTGGGGAGAGTTGTGTTACTTTACACAGTACCAAAGAGAAAATTTTAACCAGGAGAGAGACTTATTTTGTCTTATTTAACCTGAGAAACATTAGGAATATAAAGGTCTGTTTTGCCTGTCTTGTTTATTGTTTTTCTCGGATATGTGAATTCCTCATCCCTGTAATTGAAAAGCCAAGTATTAAAGCAGATTTCTCCTTCCTCAGTTAAAAAAAACCAACAAAGATGTTTCCCTGTCCAAGTGAGTCTTCCTGACTTCATTTTTTTTAATTTTCAGTTTTCAGAGGAAGGAAGCAGAAAGATAAGATTTAAAAGTTAAAATAGTAGGAGACAAGTGAAGGAAAGCTTCCACAGCCATAACTTTGTGAAACTTGCCATTTTAGCAAGCTAGCAAAGAGAGAAAACGTCAATGTCCAATACTTCTTCCTTTCTATTTAACCTAACATAACGGTCAGAAAGGTTTGGGGAAAGGCATGCTTAGTCATCTTTTCCTGCTTGAGCAATGCCAAAAAGTGCTGCTGGGAAAGCAGCCTTGCCCTGTTTGCAGGGCATGGTTCAGCTCTCGTGGCTGCTGATCAAATCGGTTACTGCAGGAATACCTTAGATTTTTTCTCTGGGGTGAAAAGTTATTCTCTCTAAAGACTCTCTGGGTTTATATTTTAGACCTAACCCCAGGGCTGAAATTCAACACAGAAATAACCTCATATTGGCCCTTTTTGGAGAGAAAAGAGTTTGATGTTAAGAAATCCATCCATGTCAGCAAGAACTAGCCATGGGCTTGCTGTTGCACCCTTCTGATTCCTCGCTTGTTAGGAAGGTTGGTGACTGTCAGGTGATGTCACTGGCTTAGTCCAAGCAGTTTATCTGGATGTAAGTAACACTAAGACAAATAACTTTTGCCTTTCCCTGGTAAAAAATAAGGGATACAGTAGGTATCTTATGTGGTATAGTCTCTGAATAGGGTAGCTAGTGACTTTGGGATTCTCATTAAGAAACAGAATTGAAGAATCAGGATGGTGCTCTCTTTTGCACAGCAGAAAGTAGAAAGGCTTATTTTCCCTTTCTCAAGCATAACCTTCTTCTTTTAACATGGAGTCAAAAATATCAGAGGCTTAAGAGATATTTTCAGCCTTTGAAAACAAAAAATGATCTTTTTTTTTTGTTTCTGTTTCTTTTCTTGCAAAAAAGAGTTTATATTAATTCTGTTTTTATTGAAGAAAATAAGAAATGTTCTGCCCCCCTTTTGAGGGGAGATGGATTGTATTAATTTAAGACTTCAAATCTTCCAACAGAAGATTTCCAAAGCAGTTTGTGTTTTGACAGTGAATAAATTGAAAAGCTTTAGTAATTCTATCTAATTCTGGTCGGCTCTCAGTCTGAGATAAACTTTTTATGAAAAGTAATGTTCTCTTTTTCCTGCTCTGCCCCAGTTATAGAACAACATCTTTTTAATTTGATCCCTTCTTTTTCTATGCCAGATAACAGTCTGGACCTTGGAGAGAAAAGGAAAAAAAGTCTGTATTCTCTTTTCTGTTTAATACACAAATAATCTGAAGTAAATGCTTATGCAATTTGCTGTAAGGTTGAGTTTTGAAATAACAGATCTCAGATGTAATGGTTGTGGCCTGATACTTCTAAGCACGACTTTCAAGATTAGATATGTGCACGGCTTAAAGCATGTGTATGGGGGGTTTTAGTGGGATTTTGCATGTCTTTACCCAGTTACTTGCAACTTGTGGTGCAAATCAGCCTCCTACCATGAGAAGAGGTTTTCAAGGAATTGCTGTGGATTACTGAGAAGCATTAATGATATGAGTATGACAAGTGACCTGATGAGTAAGCTCTACTGAATGAGCAGGGCCTTTTGAAATCCCGATCTGTGAATGTGTGGGTTTAAAAAAGAGGGTGTGACGACCTTAGAGCAATTATCTCAGAGCTATAGAAAAATCCTCAGAGAAGACAGGGGGAAAAAACCACATTTGGGTTAAAGAGGAGGATTAGAAATAGACTTATTCTGAGAGATGTTTTTGAAGGTGAGAGTCCCTTGTGGCTGGACAGTGAATGGGTGGTTGCTGTCAAGACTGCTGCAGGAAGGAGACCACCAGGGTCATTTGGGTTTCTTCAAGCTGACTTCATAGCTGCTGCTCTTCATGTGAGTGCCCATCAGGCAGCTGCAGTCAAAACGACAAGGATTCAGACATTTGAAGTTTACCCCAGCCATTTGAACTGAAATAAGTGAGGGAGAGCTTTCACGTCAGCAGGGACATGGAGGCAGAGAGGCTGTGACAGGCAGGGCTTTGTTGGGCTGCCTCGCATGCCAGGCTCTTCCGTTTAGGGCCTGAGCATCTTTGATGACTTTACTTTCTGTCTGATCCTCAGTCTTTTGATTTGCAGCTACTTGGCCTCAGTTTTGTGTAAATAAGTTTTACAGTTGTTCTGTGCAGCCTCAAAAGCTGCAGTGAACTTCAAATGAATAAATTGCACACCTCAGTCTGTGAAACACTGGTAAATAAAATTGCAAGAGGAGAGAACTCAAAGATGCAGACTAAGGAGCAGTTAGGATAATATTTCAGGAGAGACTATTTAAGTCTTTTATTTTCTCATCAGGTGTTTTAATAACTCCCTGAAGTCTTTTGTGGTAGACCAAAAGCCTAAATAATCTTAACTCTTGATGACACCAGTCATTCCCATAAAACTCATGTCTTGCATCTCCCTCTGTAGTCTTCAGATAAACTGGCACCGCCTCACAACGTTCCTCCAAAGCAAAGAATGCAGCTGCGAGTGATGTTGCTGTGTGTTAAGTGGCTGCTGGTTTTGCCAACTTGCACCTTTCCTTGGATGCGAAAAAAATTAGCTCTTTTCCTATCTCATCTCAGCTATGTGCATGTGTGTATGCACAAGGGGAATACCAACACTAAATCCTTCCTCCTGTTAGTCTAAACTACTTTGCTATGAACTGTTGCAGGTTGTGAGTCTGCTATACAACTTGTCACAAATATGCAAAATTACAGACATGAAAGAAAAAGAATTAGGTAGGTTTTTCAGCACAACATGTGTTCCCTGTAGCCAGAACAAGGCAAGATGGTGTTTACTTTGCAGAGTTCTCCAGCATCCCTCACCAGCTCTCCTGGTCACACATTCCTGATGTCCCCCTGCTCTGCTCTGCCCAGGAGGCAACAGCACAGTGGGGTGTGGCACAGACCTCATATGTTTTCAGGTATTTTGAAGTTGTTTTCACAGCCAAAATGAGCCTGAGGAGACCCAGGACCTCTCTAAAGTGCACTTCAGACATAGCCAGTTGCCTTGAGGGTACTAGCACTGGTAAGTGTGGACCTACAGCCCTGAGCACAACCTGGCTAGAAGCCTAGGGAGTGCCTAGATTTGGCCATAAGTAGTAAACGTCCAAGATCCCATGAGCTATGGGTACAGACTGCTTGGTATGTAGAGCCATAACCTATGTATCCATACTTAAGAAGAAAGTACTTTTTGAGCACCGGTTTACAGCGCATTTTGCCTTTGCTCATGGAAACACTGGGCAGACTCTGGCTCCAGGGCAGTGCCCATTGCTGTGGGTTCCCCACCCTGCCCCAGAGTACCCTGGCACACACACAAAAAATGCTTGTTTACCTGAGGTATATGGTTACAGAGGCCAGTCTCCGGTGTCCCATATTTGTTCTTTCCTGTTGTCAAACATCAAACCATCCTTTCTGAATACCTTTCTTTGTTCTCCTTCTCTCTTTGCCACCTGTTACCCAAATCCAAAGTGTAGATGTATCTGTCTGGTATCACTGAACGTCCCTGTTTTGTCTCCTATCCCGCTTCATGCTCATGCTTTACTGAGTCATTCCAGCAAAGTTTTTAGTTACTTTTGAAGAAGTGCAAAATGGAGGTTGTTTGGTTTTGGCTTCCACCCCTCCCCCCCCCCCCCTTGTTCATTGTTCTAGCTTATTTTATTGGAGTTTTAACAGATTGGCTCTAGATAAGCGAGGTTTCCCAAGATGATGGCACTTTAAAATATGTATGTGAGATTTGGCAGATCCTTTTTTGGTTTTTCTTCTCTCCCTGCCCCTCCTTGGACTACCTGACAAAAGGGTAAAAAAAATCACCTGAGATTCGCAGCATATATGCTGATGTGAATAAGCAAAGCTTTTAGTGGCATGGGATGCCACTTGCTAAGCCAACACCAGCAATACGTCAGTGGCTCCTAGGCGGTGTAATTACTTGTTAGTGAGATTTTGATCAAAGGTATTTTGAAAGTGAGCACTGTCTTCAATTACTTCTGCTTTCTAACTGCTTAAAAGAAGGTGATGTACGGCAGACAGCAACTAGAAACCTTAAAACCCCTAGAGCAGCAGAGTATGTTTTTCAGTAACACAGAAACGTGCTGCGTTGAAGGTGACTGGTTGACATGCTTGCGTGTGCACAAACCCAGAAGTCTAAGAATTGCTTTGTGTATATTTTTGGTTTAAAATTTGGAGAGCTTCAGTCTTATTTCTATCCAAATAGATTTGATTGTGTCTGGGTGTGTGTGCATCTGCAGCACGGACTTATTCACACTATGTATGCATCTTTAGGGAGAGGTGGGTTCTGTTTTGGATTAAAAAAAACAAAGGAATAAACAAAAGTAAACTTACAAAAGACCTCTGCATCTATTGCAGCTTTTGAGTATGAAAGAACTGGCATTTATGGACAGCTCTAAGAAGCATAGAAGTCCAGGGAAAATACTTTATAGCTGTGGCTTGTTTGCTTGGATAGTTTGAAATGGGCAATGAATAAAAGATGGCTTTTAACAGATATGTGTGCAGGAGGATTATGCACACAAGCAAATGGTGGCAGTTAGAATTTAGAGGTAAAAAAAATCATGAACAGTTACTCAGCATATCATTTTCATGTAAAAGGCTAAAATCAACAGCAAAAAACCCCTGTGAGTTTTGGTAAGGCAAAAAATGGACCAAGCGGAAGCAGACTCCAGAGGTTTCCCTCTATAGGATAATGGTGGGAATTAGGACAAGAATATGTTAATCCATTGGTGAACCAAATGACAGGAATTTAGAAAATGAACAGAAGAGCACATAAAAATGACCTGGAGGAATTGTTTGGTGCTGCTTAATATAAATCTAATTCCTCTGACATTACCCTAGATTCAGCTTGCTTATGTAAGTGAATGTATGTAACTCAGCCTTTACATCTAATAGAATATTGCTTTGAAATGGTTTTTCACTGAAAACTCCCTGCAGAATGCCAGGAGCTTCCCCACACCAACTGCTATGTTGATGAGGTTGTCTTTTTGGAAAGTGTCTCTCTGACATGTACGCTGATTATCAAAGCAGCTCAGTACTGATAGCATCAGGCGCTGGTGAGAAACAGGTCTTGCTGTAACAATCAGCAAGTGATCTACCTTTTTGCCTCTAGAAAAACAGTTCATAATTTATGAAGTCTGATCTTAACAGTGCATGCGATTGTACAGATGTCTCAAGTACAGCAGGCGCTTTAAAGATGCTTGTAAGTAGCAAAGAATGTACACAGATGGGGTACTTGAGTTACATTTACAGCCATTGTGTAGAGCTCATGGTTATCCCTCTTTATGTCAGTAGCACTAGTGTGTTGGATAAACCAAGCAAAACTCTAAAAATGAAATACTCTGAGTACTTGTTCTACATGTAGCACAATTGGATGAGACTAACCCCCACGCAGCTGGTATAACAGCAGCCCTAGGGAGGGCAGAGTAGGATTAGAAGAAAAGAGAAACAGAGGAGCCAGGCTGCAGCAGTAAGAAAAGCTGAAACAGAACTCACTCTGGTGCAGTGATACGTGGTTCCTTCCTCAGTGCACAGGAGTCCTTCTGAGCGCTGGCCCTGGTGGAAAAGGCT